CCCCCCCCACCCGAAAGCATCAGCCCCGTACGCCTATGTCGCCCTACACAAACTACATGTAAACAATGCCAAATTATATGCCTTTCTCTCGGACTTTCCTTTCTTTTTAACGTGTTGCTCACGCGAAGTGGACACCTATACAATTTCGAATGGCGTTGATCTTTCAGTTCATGTCTTTGGAAAGTGTTCATGCACGTTGTAGTGCTTTTGGAATGCTTAATAATCTACAACGTCTGTATCCCCAACATTTACTTTTTACTTGTTTTATAACCTGTCGACGTTTAGGTACCCACTAACGTTCTCTAACCTTCGCCAACAGGGAACTTTAGATTCGCTACGGCTACGAAATCTAGTAAGACTACGAGATCTTTTCCACTAAATATCAGCTACTAAGAACTTATAATAGTACGTGGTTTGGCGCAACTGTTGCTATAAAGATGTGGTATGCAAAAGAAAGGACGATAAAAAGTCTGTAGTAGCAGATATTTAACGGGGAATCTCGTAGTCGTACCAGATTTCGTAGCCGCAGCGAATCTAAAGTTCCCTATTGTCATTGCTACTACAGCATGAAGCGTTATCGAGTGGGCTTGTTCGACTACTCTCTGGGTCTTTTAAAGGTGTTATTATGGGGTAGAAATAATGGATAGCTAGTCGCCTTCAATTCTTGCTCTAAACTTTAGTATCCCATCGTTTGGTTGTAGATTTAACTGAATTTCCCCTGCTTTTGCTATTTGCTCATTCGGTTGCATTAACTCATCTCGTCCACCATTTGTGTTGTTCTTCGATTCAGCTCCATGTCCTTAAAGGACCAGTCTCTCGTGTTCCATGGCGGTTCTGGCAATTTAGGAGAAATCGCTGTATCCATGCGTCGATTCTCAGCACCTTCCCTAAATGGTATTCTCCAATTATCTGGCAGGTTTTTCTTTCGTTGCACATACATGTAGTGCCATTTTACGCGATCGTGCTCCTTGATTTTCTTAACTTGAATTGTCAATACTCGCCTTGACCGCTGATGATGATGATAAAATACTAAATACTAATATAGGATATAAAATACTATAAAATTACTAATACTGTTGTTAAAGTAACAACTTAGTCATAATACTGTTTAAAAAGATATGTCTTTCATCTTGTTTTAAAGATGGGCAACGATTCACTTTTTCTAATATACTCTGCCTCTGGCAGTTCGTTCCACCGAGTTTCGGTGCAGCATGAGAATGATCGTTTACCATAGTTCACTAGCCTTAATGAGGATATGGTTAGCAATCCGTTGGACGAGGAGCGTAAATTTATTTTTTACCGGTGGTAGGAAAGGTTTTAGCATATTATTAATGTTATGTTGAGATAAACCATTCACAGATTTGTACGTAATAAGAACAATTTTATGGCTGATGCATTGACTGACGGGGAGCCAATGTATAATTGTTTCATTAATGGAGTAATACCTTTCATAACATTTTATACCTTTTCTAGAATTTCATCTATAGTATGTAATATATGTAAAGTTTTGTTTTCTGTTCATTAATTTAGCAACGGCCCCTTGAAAATAAGTCGTAAGTCACTGAAGGGCCTACCGTTGTAAAATAAGATTAAATAATAATAATAATATTTATTGTTAGCATGAAAAAATTACTGGATGCTGATTGGTTGAGAGGAGTAGAATTATTTCATTAATTGCACTGCAGTACAATTAAACAAAATGGCGGAAAGGTATTTTAAACACAAATATGAAATGAAATTGCGCTAGAGGAACTAGATGAAAATACGAACAAAAGCACCAAATTTTGCTTTAACAAAAGAACTAAATGAAAATACAAACAAAAGCACCAAATTTTGGTTGAAAGTCTTGCAGGACTGGGCTTTGGCGAGAGAATATGATGTTGACATTGAGACACTTGCCCCGGCGGCTCGTCCAATTTTGGAAAAATTTCCAAACATAACTCGTGATTACCTATATACTTATACAGGGATTACAGGTAATACAAAATAAAGTTTGAAACAATAGAATGCACCACAATTTTTTATTAAATATATACAATAACATGCATAACTAATATTAAAATTGAACAATATAACATGCATGGCAACATAATGCTCCAGCCATTATAGTAACAGAATGCACCACAAATTTTTAAATATATACCCCAACACAACATAACTAATATTAAACATTGTTATATAGTTAGTTCAAAGTTAAATGTTTCTGTTTGCATTGGTCAAAACCGTATCATGTGCCGGTCCACAAAACGTCATGTTCACTGCATGCTTTGGCGAGGGGGCAACACATTTTGTGATCAAACTTTCTCATCTTACCCTGAAAAATATTTCGATCAGTAAACAGCCAGACATAACTGAATTTGGAGCAAGCTGGAATCAAAATTTACAACAGGCACAACCGGCACAAGGCGCACGTGACGCTGTGTTTACAAATTGTAATGGCTCATGGTGTTCGCGAGTCTCAACCAGGGTATTCTAGCCTGCATACCACGCAGGCTAAGGGTATTCGGAAAGTCGAATCGCGATCTGCATGAGTATATGTATGTTATTCTTGAAAATTTCTGTGACGTCAGAAAACGTCATAAATCTGATCATCCGTACGCACATGCAAAATCGAGTTGTCGTTTGCTATACATAGTTCGGCCAACCGAAAACGGACTGTTGCAAGAAAAACACATCGTCAAGACTAGGGCAGCCGCCTTTTCCCGCTAAAACCGTGTAAATACTGTAAAAATAATGTGAACTAATATCTCTTTATCCTTTTAACTATTTTTTTTTTGTAAATAATCGTAATAAATACTGTTCAGTTTATTTGTCAACATTTATAGTAGTTGTTACTTAATATGAATGATTTTTTCAAACTAGAGGCCTTATCTAAAAGTTCAACAGGATTTCCAAAGGTTCCTAGCCCCCATGCATATACCTTGGTTCCAGAGGCTTTTTGTCTCGCCTCTCGTTTCTTTCGCCTCGCGAAGAGCCTCTGGAACCAGGGTACCATGTATATAGCCTACTAATTGTAGATATTGTAGTACTTTGTAAATATCTTTTGTAGGCAAAAAATATATATTAAATGCAAAAATATACATACAGTAAATATTGGCGTAACTATATACCATGAAGGACGCGAACACAAGAATAACCAAACTTTCAATGAGTGAACTATACCATACTCCAACATGCATTAAATATAACCGTACATGAATGCTCTGTTTGAAAGTAGCAAACTAAATCAATCAATAAGCAACAAATTAAGCAAAGACAAATCTAATTGCAATTGTACAAAAGAAGGTCAAATTGTGTACTCACTTTATCTCACTTTACTATAAATCATGCACTACGAGTGCGTAGTCCGTAGAATGGATGTAGATATAGACCTCGTAACTCCAATAGTTATCACGATAGCGCCTCCAGAGTTTTTGTCTTTACAATGCGAAACGCACAAGAGTATTGACCTTCCTTCCTATGACTATTTTAGACTTCGTGACACAATAAATCAGTTGTGCCCTACCCGTTTTAAGCTTCGAACACAGCGATTCGTCAAAGTCAAACCGATATTATGTCTAGCTGAATGTTATAAGGATATTTTCAAATACCATTAAGTGCATGTAAATCGGCCTGACAACAATTGAATGTTTGAATAAATTTCATATATTTAATTTGGTAGCTAGAACTATCGGATTCTTTGCTTGCTTTTTCTTCGTCCGCAAGATCTATGGTGCTGTCAAGGTCGATTAAAGCCTGGTTCACATTGATCGGCGATGTTCTACGATCCATTGTCTGTGAGCAACGAAGAAGAAAATGCACAAAACATTTTATGCATCAATGACCACCGACAATGGGTATCGCCGATGTTTACGATCAATGTGAACCATGCTTAACAAGGACATGTTTGTATCAATACATTGCTGAAAATAAACAAATACTTCACTTAGAACTTTGAGCCTTTCAAATTCAAATTAGCTATAACGTATTGTAGTAATTTGACAGCTCTAATTGCTTTGAATTTAATGGTTGGGTAAGAACACAAGGAATACTGTAGGTCTTGTACTCATGGGAAAAACTCTTAAAAACTTTTAAATTTTCTAATTTTTATTTCTTTGAGTTTTGTCCCATGCGTACAATACCTAGTGTTCTTACCCAATCATTAATTCAACGCAATTGGAGCTGTCAAATTACTACAAACGTTATAGCTAATTTGAATTTGAAAGCGTCACTTTTTTTTAGACACACTAGCTGTAGTTAGGCCAATGCAATAATTAAAGTGTCTGGGATGACGGTTTAAACGTTAGTTTATGTTTATTTATGTCAAGATTTTCTTGGCATCTCACTCGTTTGAATAATAGTAGAAGGATATTGTAGATTGAAATTATTAAGTGGAAATTTATGTAAATTTATTGGACCTGACCAGGAACAGCTGCGAAAAAAGCAACTTTAGTCCCTGGTACGAATCGAACCTATAGACCGCGAGCATGCAGTCCCTCGGAGAAAGGCAGGGCCGCCGAGAGGGGGGGGGGCAGGGGGCAAATTGCCCCGGGCCCCAAGGTGCTGGGGGCCCCTGAAAAATTTTTGTTGGGCCCCAGTCTTTTTTGTGTGTTAAATATTTCCGCGCAAAGGACAAGATATCTGTTTTCTTGAGATAAGTACCGAAATTTGGCATTAAAAAAATGAGATAAAGTCCCTGGAAAGCAATAGGAACGTACTCGTCCGGAAAATTTTTTACTCCGGAAAAATTTTTGTTACCCCTAAAATGGTATACTGACAGAAAAATTTTTGGCGACGGGGGGGGGAGGTTGTTGTCCGGAAAAAAATTTTTCTGGAAATTTTTTTGGGATAGGGGGCCCCCAAAAAAATATTTGCCCCGGGCCCCCGCCAACCTCTCTGCGGCACTGGAGGAAGGAGGGACCGCCGCAACTCATCAAGAAACGAAATACGCCCACTTTTCGCTCTTGTCGAGTCTCCACTTTGCATAAATATAACCGTCAATGTCATTATTTACAGGGTATATAAAAAAAAATTAACCGAACTTCAGCGCGCTATTGTACGTGAATTACTCGGCGTATGAACATTTTTTTCATATTCGGAACGATCAGGCTTTTAGCTGTTGAATGGCATGTTTTCCATGCTAAGTGGAGAAAAAATAAACAAGTACGAGTTCGGTAAAAAATGTTAGTCAGAATAGCGTGCATAACAAAAGAAAAAGTAGGAATAAATCGTAGCTAAGCTACGACAAGTTCGTGATTTTAATCAGCAATTAAAATTGCTTTTTCTTTTGTTATGCACGCTATTCTGACTAACATTTTTTACCGAACTTGTACTTGCTTATTTTTTCTCCACTTGGCATGAAAAACATGCCATTCAACAGCTAAAAGCCTGATCGTTCCGAATATGAAAAAAAATATTCATACGCCGAGTAATTCATGTACAATAGCGCGCTGAAGTTCGGTTAATTTTTTTTTATATACCCTGTAAATAATCACATTTAGTCCGTGTGTTGTGACCTCGAAAAGTGCCTAGAAAACAATTTTCATTAAGCATGTCTTAGAACTGAAATACTTTTACGGGAACTAACACTTTCGAACACGCTGAGTTCAAATCCGAAAAGTTCCCACTCCGTAGACCCGCAGTTTTTTCACAAAATGCTATTTTATCTTCACTAATTTCACAGCAAATTTTTTCATTGTTCAACGATACGGATCGATGACGATACAAGATTATGTCACTCAAAAGGACCAATTTATATTAACCATTCTTCCTTTTAACAAAAAACCGGTTTTGCTCGAATCATTCTGAGTTATGCAATCTTATGGGTGTTGGACGTAAACAACATATCTTGTCTACAACTTTGAGAAGGTACAGATAATTCTTTATAATATTCTAAGTTCTGGAACTATCTCTATAAAATCAAAAGGACGTTAATGTCAAGTCTTTGGGCTATGTCTCTGGGCTGAGAAATAATTCCTTACATGGGATCAAAATGTTTTATACAAAGATATAAAACGGGAATCTATATGTAATGGATCAGCATGGAAATTTCCAACACGGTTTCCAAGACGTAATTCAAGAGATAACTTATCATTGCATTTGAACTATTATATCAGTTGGTGTTATACTGTGCGATAAGCGAGTATTATTGGAAAGAGGGCTTCTATATTCGTCGAAATCATCGAATAAACAGCTCATGCACACATTTCTCCACTTCGCGGTAAGTTTACAGAGCATATTTTATACGTTGTGACTGATCTTTGTCTTTGATGTGAACATTTATTCTTATAGCTTAAGGTTATTTAAGATTGATCCTGTCGTAAGTCTTCTACCTGCAAGCATTCGACAATATTTCGTTTTAACGTTCTCTTTGCCGTTACGTTGGCTTTGCGTTACTTTTGTTTTAAATATTTTGATCGCGTCAAATTAGTTACTTTTCTCGCCAGTGACATAGCTAAAAGACTTGACATTAATGTCCTTGTGATTTTATAGAGATATCTCTAGAACTGGGGGTTTTAGAAAGCGTTATCTGTACCTTCTCAAAGTTGTAGACAAAATATGTTGTTTACGTCCAACACGCATAAGATTGCATAACTCAAAATGATTCGAGCAAAACCGATCTTTTGTTAAAAGGAAGAATTGTTAATTGAAATTGGTCCTTTTTGAGTGACATAATCTTGTATCGTCATCGATCCGTATCGTTGAACAATGAAAAAATTGGCTGTGAAATTAGTGAAGATAAAATAGCATTTTGTGAAAAAACTGCGGGTCTACGGAGTGGGAACTTTTCGGATTTGAACTCAGCGTGTTCGAAAGTGTTAGTTCCCGTAAAAATATTTCAGTTCTAAGACATGCTTAATGAAAGTGAACGATATCGGGTCACAACGCACGGACTAATTGACGGTTATATTTATGCAAAGCGGAGCCAATTTGACAAGAGCGAAAAGTGGGCTATTTCGGTCCCTCCTTTCTCCGAGGGACTGCTCGCGGAAATAATTATGAATATGTGCGTATACTGCAGTTTGTTGAAGTGAAATTCATCAACTTAATATGTGCCGAATGGGATTAATTTTCAATGTTTTAAATTAATTTTCAACGGGGAAAATATGCGGCATGAAGACTCATTCAACAGCTAAAAGCCTGATATTTCCGAAGATGAAAAAATCTCGTTCATACGCAGTAATTCAGCTACAAAAGCGCGCTGAAGTTCGATTACCTTTATTTTGATACACCCTGTATAAAATCAATATTCAGTTCTGGATTTATTTATAGCATATATAAATATATAATTACTACGTATCAGATTTGATTGACAGGCGTATCGATTTCGACCAATGGGAATTTTGCGTTGTGTGGGCAACGCGTATTTCATTTCTTGATGTGTTGTCGGCAGTCCCTCCTTTCCTTTTGCATGCCCGGAAATCTAAACCCGCGGGAAGGAGGGACCGCTCGCAGTCTATCGAACCTGCGGCCCTGTGATTCCAGTGCGCGCTCTAACCAACTGAGCGGCTACAGAGGCCAGTTGTCGAGCTCTAACCACAAGTTTATGTATTATACTAGGGTACTGTCATGTTAGGTTATGGATAAATATCAAGGTCGATTTTGTTGGCATCTCACTCCTTTGAATAATATAGTTGAAGGATATTGTAGACTGAAATTATATAAATTTATATAAATTTATTAGACCTGACCAGGAACAACTGCGACTGAAAAAAGCAACTTTAGTCCCTGGCAGGAATCTATCCTGCGACCCTGTGATTCCGGTGATGCGCTCTAACCAACTGAGCTACCGAGGCCAGTTGTCAAGTTCCAACCACAAGTTTATGTATATATACTATAGGGTACTGCCATGTCAGGTTATGGATAAATATCAAGATCGATTTTGTTAGCATCTCACTCGATTGAATAACAGTTGAAGGAGTGGAAATTTATATACATTTATGGTCAGGTCTAATCAAAATGTATATAAATTTCCACTCGATAATTTCCATCTACAATATCCTTCAAATATATATGTTTATTTATCCATCAGACGACAAGCAAAATATCTAAACTTGGTAAAACTATTTAATGCAGCCCATTTATACTATAAATTTTGGGGGGATATTCGAACGAGAAACATTTACTTTTAGTCACTTGGCCCTGTTACATTGACATTTAGTTTCTTGGCGCATCAAGTCCTAACCAGATCTGGAAAAAGTGTCTAATGTTCCCCGGATCCTGAATTTGCTTTTCTCAAATTTTTCGCAAAAGTACGTAAAATCAATAGAGACCTTACGATTTAGGACGGCAACGCGACGGCAACGGCTACCAATACAGTAAATCATTGAAAAGAATTGTATAATTACAGTATATGAATAATTTAGACATTGTCCTCGCTTTGTTTACAACGCCAAATCAAAGATTTTCAACGGCTGCATTTCAAGCCTCAACATGTGCAACTTCAAACTGGGTTCAGCAGAACTCTTCCCAAACATAAAACCCATGTCTTCAACTTCTAAGACTGCATGATTGTATTAAATTCATACGATTGATAATAATAATACCACATGCACAAATTATCTTTACTACCATTTATCTGAAGGAGCTTGTTTTGGCCGTCGTCGTCGCCTTGCCGTCCTAAAATCATAAAGTCTCTAATGAGACTTGAGGCGGACATATTGTTGACATATTGCACTGCTGAAAAATGTAGCAGAGGGGATGTTTTTGTGCTAGTTTCCGGTCGCAGCCCTGGAACAATTGGTGAAAATACGTTCTTCTAGACCGTGAAGAAGTGTCCAACTTTCTACCTATGAATGAACTTAACCAAAACAAAAATAACGCAAAACCAAATAACGAAATATTAAAAGGTACAGCTATAGTCTGTAAAATACGCCACGTCCAATCACAGCGATAGTGCTCGTGGTTTCAGTTTCCATGCTTTACAAAAATCGTCAAAGGTAATGTACGTCATTCATCAGTACTTTCCTTTCGAAGCTTAGATAAGCAACGGAGATCTGCCTCTCTCTGTGTTCTCATTGATCTTCATTGAGGGGAAGCAACTCGAGTTAAGGAGGAGAATACACATTCTACTCGCGTGAATGTGAATCCTGAAGTTGCTGCAACTTTATACAAGGAAGATAGTGTTGGAGCTCCTTTATGGTGATTATTTATGACAATGATGGCAACCTCGCTTAAATCAATTTTCTCGTTTTCATTATTTGGCCATTCCTTATCTTTGAACACACGAGCATATATTCTGCATTCAGCGTCTAAATCTTTTATTGAAAGTTTTTCTTTTAAATAGAAATCTCTCAGCACAGGAATCGTGGTAGCGTACTCAAATAGGGGGATTGAGAATGTCATATTGAAGATATACATCAGACGACGGTGATAACGCGGACATGGCTCCCATAATGCAATGTTTTCGGTGGAAAATCGTCGGATGAATTCAGCATGCAGTAAATCTAAGAATTCTATAAAAGTTTGAATGTTTGGACGTCTGCTGTTATCACTTGGCAGACTTTCAGTAACTAGAGGTTTTCAGTAGCGAGAGGGAATTGCACTGTGTTTCTTCTGGGTTGAGGTTGCTCTCCATTGGTTGTTGTGACTCTAACATCTTCCAAAAAATCATTGACCTTAGTCTTCTCGTTCGTGACAGTTTCGCGTTCCGATTTGATATCTTCTTCGACATTGTTGACTATCTCTAATGCTGCATGAAATATGTTTGACAATAATATCAATTGGTTTCAACACCTTCATTAACATGCAAGCAGTGTACATACTGTATAAAATGTACCGATCACAGAAATTACCAACAAGCTTTTTCAGTCCGTTATAGTCCCCAGACATTACGCTAGCGCCATCAAAAGACTGCGATACAAGACCGTCGACTGAGATTTCAAATTCTGCTTTCTTTGATAAAATTGAAAATTACCTTTAGCAGAGCGATCGTCGATTCCCTTCACGTTAAGACAATGCTCATCCATTTTCCCTTCGTAAGATAAATAGCGACAAACAAGGCCTTGGATTCCCTTTCTGTTTTTATCAGTGGTACCATCTGCCATAATGATAAACAATTCCGCTTTATGTACGTCGTCAGCAATTTTATTCTTCACTATGGAAGCTAGTACTTCGATCACTTCGTCCTGTATATCAGGATTCAGGAGAAGTGTACTAAGCGTTTCTTGGAAGATTTTTGTGGATTTTCTATTTTTCTTCCATTTTTCTTCCAATGGGACAAAAGTTGAGAAAAAGCCCTTAAAAACAAACCATCTCCTGCGTCAATATCAAATTCATTCGTGCCACGAAACGGGAGGGAATTTGCACATAAGTATCTTGATACGTTGAAAACAGCAAACAACCACTGCTTCTGACACGAGAGATGCTACAACTGTGCAGCCGTGTAGATTTCGCATTTTCCTTTCTTCATAAATCCCCATTGCTTTCAAATGATCATTCGAAGATTGATGTTGGTGAAAGCCCTTTCGCTTCTCCTCGGCGCGTTTCCAATCACGAAAACCATTTTTAGTGAATGCCGTCTCCGTCGGATTTGGTAAAAACAGTCTACAAGTAAAACAGAAACAAGCATCTAACTCTTCGTTATATTGCAACCATTTAAATTCACTGACACTGTACCAGCTAGCAGCTTGATTTGCAGCGTCTTAATCTACTTCTAAACCGCGTTCCTGGGTATACTTTTGTCTTTCAAGTTGGGTTGACATGGAGCTTCTTTATTTTCGAAAAAAGGAGGTTTTGATGCATCGTTTGTAAACGGTTCATCTTGCACATGTTGCTCAACATGTGAATCCAAATCAGTGAGAAACGCCTGCTTTCATCGTCTGTCGTAGCTCCGAATACGCTTGTCTTTTCTGTACTTGGATTGGATGGTGCACCAAACAGACATGTTTCGCTTCTTCGCTCGTCATGAACTGGGACGTAGGAAGCATCTAAAAGTTAAGGGTCAAAGGGGCACTTTCGAATGAAAAAGCGCACCTAAAAATTTTTTCCCGGAAATTATTTAAATTATTTCCCGGCCTTTCATTTATACAATCATGAATCAAAGGCCGTTGGGGAAAAAATGCAATTTGATGTGAAATTTGATATCCAGTTCAACAATTCGGCCAAATGTGCGACAGCTCAACCTTAAACCATTTCGCCTAGCAGATATCTTCGGCCATTTTCCAATAAAGATTGGCGAACGAACTCTATGTTTTCCGCTGTTCTTGCTGTTCTCCGTCGACCACTTCGTCCCTTATTCAGGTTGTGGAAAGTCCACTCTCTCACCATTCACGAATTCGGAATGTTCGTGCTGGAAGGCCCACATCTTCCTCAACAGCCAGAAATTAGAATTGGACAGTTCATTTGCCGCCAGCTACATTATTTGGCTTGTACGTAATGTATCAGTCAATTCCAGCTGTGCCCATCCCCACTCCCCGGGCAATTATCCATTTCTGGAAAGAAAATGGCTATGTACCCAACCCAAGGAAAGAGGAATTGTGCTAAAGCCCAACCCCTGGGCAAACAAATTGGGTCTATATCCCCACCCCCGGGTAATAATATTAACTGTTCAGTACACATTGGTTTGCATGCACGTTAAAATTCAATATAAATGCAAAGTACAAAAAAGAAGATCTATAACAAGGATAAGAATGTTTTTATATTGATGCAACATTGTATAAATTTCAACCCTAACTTCAGCCCATCTAGCTAGATCCATGATAATATTAATGTGAACCTTTGAAAATATTGTCTTTACTTAAAGGACCGAACGCGAGTTCGACAACGTAACGCGATTTTTCGATTTTCACTGACCGATATAAAGCTTGATCCTAGTTTAAGCTTTCTAAATATTTAGAAGCGTTATAACATTTTGAGTTAATTATTTGGTCCACATATCTTTTAAAATTTGCTCTCATTGGCTGTTTTATCAACCTTCGAAAACTAAAAATTGTCGAATCGCGTCCGGTGCCAGGTGCACTCATAGATCTTTTTTATAGTGACCATTGTCCATTGAAGGAGAAAAACTATTTCATGTAGACAAAGGATTTTACTCATCAATGATCAAAGACAATTAATGGTTGAAATACTATCCCAATGAATGAATATCAAGCCATTTGCAAACGAATTCAGTATCTTTTCCAGCGAAATCTGCCATGTTATATAGTCCGCTAATCGCCATGATGAAAAATGTTAAATGTCTATAAAGTCCCCACCCCCCGGGCTGAAAAATTTCGGCAATAGCCCCACCTCCGGGATTAAGAAAGCTGCGAATGCCCGGGGGTGCCCCGGGGGTGGGGGATGGGCACTGCTGGAATTGACTGATACATAACTTTTCTGCAGCAACTGAATACCGTTATTGTCGTTGACAACTCTATTGTGATAATTTTATCAACTTATCATTAATATACGCCGAGTATATACTAGCACCGTTATCGTTCTCTTGCACAATGGTCTTCATTTGAAGTAAGATTTCTCATTCAACATGCTGCATTGTTCCAGCCCAAAGATTCAATATTACAAAATACTTGACCAGTATAGTAAACAAAATAGACAACATTTCTACACAAGTTATTTCCTCCGGCTCCGACCTCCGCCAGGTTATGTTTTCATCCGCGTTAGTTATGTATGTGTGTGTCATGGTGTGTGTTTGTACGTCTCCAAGATAACTTAAAAATATCAAATGTAATACGAAAATGGGGTGGGCCACGTGATGTGGTGGGTGGATGTGGGGTGGGGGTCAGGATATCAATGCAGTGGCGGTATGATGAAATACATTATATATTTAAGTATGGATTTACCATGAATGATATACATCATAAAAATGAAGAGACCATGTTGAGTTAATAGCTGTTCCATATATTCGTGGGTTTTTTCAGATTCGTATTCATGTAGCACTGCCGTGCAGTATATTTGGTGCGATTTGTCTTCAAGCAGCCGTACTGGGAGTATTCTTAATACAGGCTTCGTACACCTTCATAATTTAAAAAAATCCAGGGTTTTCCAGAACTGTTTTCATAGTACCAAGCTCAGTTTATCAGTTTTCCAGGGTTTTCCAGGGATAAATTTGAAATTCCAGGGTTTTCAAGAGTTTTTCAGGACTAAAATAGTAATTTCATAGCGTATTAGCGACTTTCCTATTGGCTACGAGGAGGACCCGAGGTGCGTCCAATCCCGGACTCACCGAACCTGCAAGTATGTTTGGTTTTTATCACGTGCCATTTCGGTAAAATACTAAAAAGTACCGAAGAATTTTATACGCATTTTACTTTTTAGTATATAATTTCGTGTTTGGATAACGAACATTTTAGCCGCCAACATACTACGCAAACAAACAATCTTAGGCTTAAATTAAAGCTAAAAAATAGGAACGCAGTGCGTACACGTTGCATCTGAAACTTATCATGCGCTTTAGCGCTTATAACATTTGCCTTTGGTACAACTGGCGTGAAACTTAAAATATTGATTCAATAAGTTTAATATCAATATACTTATTGAAAAATAGCTATTATGTCAAAATAAGAAAACTTGAGATTCTCACGCGAACTAGCCTACGGTGTAGACCCCAGTAGAAACACGCGAATGGGCAATGTTTTTATAAGCGACCGTTAATAGTTAGTTGCAAGCGACGGTAATAATAAGGGTGGTGGGTCAAGGTTTTATCAAAAGCGATTGACTGTTAGATTTCTTTTACAAATTTATAACTAAATAACGTTATATCCTTTAGATTTATTATAACTTGTTAAAGGTATAAAAAACCCGTAGAAACGGTCAATTACTATAATAGATTGAAAATGATTATCATTTATCATTTTGACGTTTGAGTGATTGAAATGAGTTAATTACACTATATCGAATGTCATGTTGAATGTCATGTTGAATCTTATGCGTACTTCACAATGGTTGCTATTTCGTTGTATTTAATAAATTTCAATAGTATTACTGCGACGTTATATTAATAGGAGCAGCAAAGTAGAGGCTGTTTTCGCAGGCTATAGTATTACTATTTATAATTCAAATTTTGTTTGATATTTATAGTTCATGTTATTTACAAAATGTGCTTTTGAAGCTTTGTACACAATGGCTGATCGCATTATTAATCCGCACCCCCTTATTGAGGACATCCATTTTTTGGTCCCCCCTCCCCTGGAATTTCCACATATTTTAAGCGAATTTTTAGCCTCCCCTGTGGAATTTCCACAGATTTTTATTGAATTTTAGCCCTGCCCATGGAATTTCCGCAAATTTTTTACGAACTTTTAACCTATCCCATGGAAATTCCTTGACAGTTTTTCATCTAGCCAGTGGAAATTCCGTATTGATTCTTTGATTAGTAGCTATCCCTTGGAAAATTCCTTGCTGATTTTTCTCCTATCCTTTGGAATTTCTTTTCCATTGTTGACCCTCCCATGGAAATTCCATACGTTTTACTCAATTTTCTTACCTACCCTTTGGAATTTCCGCAGATTTGCTTTAAAATTTGGACCCTCCCATGGAAATTCCTTCATTTTTGGTTCACTTTTGCAGGGGGGCATTGGAAATTCCACATGTCCTCAATAGGGGGGGTGCGGATTAATAATGCGATCAGCCAATATAATCAGTGCGAGCACAATGGCTCCGTTACAGTTGTGAGTATATAAAAATCGAGTATTTTGATAACGCCTGATAATTAATAAAAAATCAGTATATAATAAATAGTAAATAACAGAATATAATGTAAGTTAATAACAGAATATAAGGTAAGTTAAAAACAGTAAAGCTTTACCTACCTCGATTTATTTTTCTAAGGTGCTCAATTATGTAAATTTTCGGAGAATAATCAATATTTCTTTGCGTTTCCTCGTCGGACGAAAACCCGGCGTGAAAATGCTCGTCGGAAAAACTCGGTATTTGTCGTATTTTACGATTCTGCCACGTGACTGGTACGTAGTGATGGGCGATACCAGGATTTTTAATTCGATACCGATACCGATACTTTTAAGATCGGTATCGGCTGATACCGATACCTATTTCGATACCAAAATAAACACAAAATTTCAATTTTCGATACGGGAAGTGAGTACTTAAATTGCTAGTATCGGCTACTTTAGATACCTGCCGGTCAGCGGAAAAACATTTTACATTACTGTATGTAACCTAACTAAAGCTATATTAAGTAAATCAAAAGTCCAAAACGTAATAAATATTTTCTATACATGACTTGGTGCACCACATTTGGAATATTAAGAGTTATTTTAGTGGTTTATTAAGTCTTATTCAACCAAGAAGTGAAATTAAACATGTCGTTTAAAAAAGGGTGCAAGTATCGAACGATACCACGTCAGTAATCGATACCGATACCGCTGTTTGTGGTATCGCTGGTATCGAATACCGAGTACTCGGTATCGCCCATCACTACTGGTACGCTCACTGACGATCACTGAGCTATCTCACCACGACACGAAATTTAGAGCTATATTAAAGTTGGCAAAGTTGCATGCCACATATGGCATGCAACAAAAAATTCTCTACAATATTCCCTTATTCTTGAAAAGAGAAAATGAACACAATCTGCGAAAACAATGACA